ACATTTTGTTCTGTTATTGTGTGTTTTTTTTAAATATTCTTTATTCCGGCCGAGCCTTGATATCACTCTAGGTACGCCGCTGACTAAATGATGTTTTGACAAATATTCTTCCTTTGGGTACATGCGGGTCTAGCGGGTCGGAGCGGGAATGGCACAAGACAAATAGTAGCGGAAAATTGAGGATGGGACAGAGGTGGGGATCGTTAAGGCACGGGACGGGATTAAGAGTAACCCCTCCCAACCCACTCTCATTACCATCACTAACTTTAAGGGTATACTTGACACATCGAGGTGAAACTATACTTTTATAAGTTTTTTTAGTAACTGTTAGTTTTTAGTGATTGAAAAGATATTACTCTGTAAAAGAAACAAGTGGTAGCTATTTGATAAAAAGAATTGACTGTCTGAACTAGTTTTGTTTTGTATACAAGCTGTCGTGACTCATTAATGCTAAAAACTACAGTCTTTTCACAAAAACTATTCAATGTAGCTTTTCAAATAAGATATTTCATTTTGAAAAAGTCTCTTAAAAATTGTAATGTCAAACATCCAATTAGAAACTTTTGATCCCCTTTTGGTAATACTAAAATCGGTTGAATCGACTAATTCGACTAAAATTTATGAAATTCTGACTGATGTGGCTGAATTGTGTGATTCTGCTGATTTATTAAAAAATTATATTTAAAATATAGTTTATTAATAGAACATAGTTTATAAAGAAAAAATTATTTGTAAAGATGGTTAAAATAGTCTTTTACAGTAACTTCAGCTAATACAGCCCGAAAAGCAACTTCAACCTCACTTTTTCTTATTATTACTACCTCTGTCCCACTATGTTTGGGACAAAGAGGTGTGGCACAAATTTTAAGAAAAGTGGAATTGTGTGGTAGATATTGAATTGATAAAGTATGAATAAAGTAAGAATGAATTGTGACCACCCAAATATTATCAAATATGATATGAGACAAACTTAATGGGACGGACGAAAAAGGTAAAACGGGACAAAGGAGGGACAGATGGAGTATACACAATTCAGCGCGCGAAATAAAAAAGGCTAAAGGGTCAAATAGGCCCCCGAATTAACTTAAAAAGTGCAATTCACCCCTTATATAGGAGGCTCTATCCGGATGTCGCCAATTGGGGCGGTTCCCGGTAGAATTTTTTGATGAATTTTTTTGACAATCTTCTTCATTAGGTATAGTTTACCCATACCAAATTTCAGATAAATATTCAACCGGGAAGACTGTCAAATGATTTTCTGAAATGTGCTGCGCTGTTTAACTGCCTTGTTATCTTAAAAAATTCATTTGACTACCTTCCCGATTGAATTTTTAGATGAAATTTGGTATGAGTAAACTAGACTTAACGAAGAAGATGCTCAAAATATTTCATCAAAAAATTCCACCGGGAACCGCCCCAATTGAGGATGTCCGGACAGAGCCTCCTATATAAGGGGTGAATTGCATTTTTTAAGTTAGTTCGATGGTCTATTTGACCCTTTAGCCAATAAAAAATTACTTGTTTGATGAAAAAGTTAACTTGTAAGACTGATAAATTTAAAAATAGAGCTACTAGTCACACTTTTTATTTATTTGTGTATAGTGCAAAAGTTATAAGATAGAGTTTTGTGCCTATTTTATAATAATATATCTTCTTTGAAAAGCTATACCGAGGAGCATTTGAAAAAAATGTAACTATTAGTATTAATAATGAGTCACACTAAAACTAATTCAAACAGTTTTATTATCAAATCTAATTCATAATACATAGTATTTTATAAGTCACTACACACAAAATCGCAAATTATACCGTACAACCGGCCCTTTTACCCTTCTGCGCTTCTCACCCTAGCAACGAGCAACGATTTCTTCGATATTCGCCCTTGCTTCTTCGGTTCTCGCACAGGAAATCGCCCCTGTTTCTTCAATCTCGCCTGATTTCTTCGATCTAATCTCGCGCACAGACTGCTCCTTTCTCCTTAAGCTCTCCTCCGCAAGATACCGCTACTCTTGGGGATTTCTTCGTTGGCCGGTGCTGCGAGAAGAAGAATACGGGGACGACAAGTTGCTGACGAATTTAGGAGACTGACTTCATGCTTGCTGACGAATTTGGAATGAGTTTATATTAAACTGAAATGAGTATAAGCCTAAAAGGAATGAACATACTAAAAATGAGTATAAACTGAAAATGAATGAGCATATTAAAAAGGGAAAATGGAAACTAATAATCCAACCTTTTAACGGTCTTCTTTCAATAATCCCACCTTTTGATTATTCATGAATAATCCAACCTTTGTACCTCATCTTCATTCATTGGTCCGTGGTCGGTTAATGACCTACTATTCCAAGTTATTTTCTTATCTTTGCAAAATATTATCTTTGTGAAAGATGAGATTTATGATATAATGATTTGAAAAGATAAGAAAATAGCTTGGAATAGCAGGTCATCAACCGGTCAGGGACCAGTGAATGAAGATGAGGTGCAAAGGTTGGATTATTCATGAATAAACAAAAGGTTGGATTATTGTAAGAAGACCGCTAAAAGGTTGGATTATTAGTTTCCATTTTCCCTATTAAAAATGAGTTTTATGTCAAACTCAAATGAGTATAAAACCGAAAATGAATGAGCATACACAAATGAGCTTTTGAATTTTTTGATACTCATTTTGTAAGTTATATATGCTCATTTGGTACCTCATTATGCTCATTTTCAATTGTTGCACATTATGTTAAACTCAAATGAGTATACATATAAAAGAAGTGAACATACACAACTGAATATTAAGCACATGAAAAATGAGTTTTATATTAAACTCAGATGAGTATAACGCCCAAAATCATAGGCATACACAAATGAGCTTTTGAATTTTTTATACTCATCTTGTAAATTATGTATGCTCATTTGGTACTGCTTTATGCTCATTTTAAAATGATGCACATATTAAATATAACACCCAAAATCAATGAGCATACACAAATGAAGTTTTGATTTTTTTATACTCATTTTGTAAATTATGTATGCTCATTTGATATTGTTTTATGCTCATTTTAAAATGATGCACATATCAAACATATCATACTACATTAGATTCACATATTGAAATTAATTAGGCTAAAGGGTCAAATAGGTACATGAACTAACTTAAAGTGTTCAATTAGCCCCTTATATAGGAGGTTCTGCCCGGCTGTCGCCAATTGGGGCGGTTCCCGATGGAATTTTTTGATGAATTTTTTTGAGCATCTTCTTCATTAAGTCTAGTTTACCCATACCAAATTTCAGCTAAAAATTAAACCGGGAAGGTAGTCAAATGATTTTCCGAAATGTACTGCGCTGTTTAACTGCACAGTTATCTTCAAACAATCATTTGACTGCCTTCTCGGTTGAATTTTTAGCTGAAATTTGGTATGGGTAAACTAGACTTAATGAAGAAGATGCTCAAAAAATTTCATCAAACAATTCCACCGGGAACCGCCCCAATTGGCGACGGCCAAGCAGAACCTCCTATATAAGGGGCTAATTGAACACTTTAAGTTAGTTCATGTACCTATTTGACCCTTTAACGAAAAAATAAAAAAACAAACGAATTAGAAGACATCAAGCAGAGATCATAAGTGCTCATTGTTAGGCTTCTAAGGATGTTTTCTTTTGGAATGAAATTTGCTGGTCTGGTCTGGTCTGGGACTGAAAACAGTCCAAAAGAAAACATCCTAAATTACATCGATGCTCATTTAAGAGAAACCATGAACTTCATTAAAATTACAAAAATGACACCGGCTGAACGGTGCCAGCTGTACAGCCAGGGCCGAACCTATAGTAGAGGCAAGGAGGCAACCGCCTCAGGCCCATAATTTTGGGGAAAAAATAGGGCCCAAAAATTTATTAACTCCCTTTATATATACTCATAGCATAATAGGCCCAATTTGAATTTCCTTTGATTAGAAGCTCTCGACTGATCACCGACCTTTGCATCTGCGACTCTGCTCTCTCGTTTGCAACTTCCGAGTTCCCAGGTTTGAAATCCAAGCTTCCAACATCAATCTTTGAAGGCTAGAAGCATAGAAGTTCAGAACTCTATAGCATCCCAGGTATGTATAATTGTTATTTAATGTAATTGTTGTGTTTTTAAATGTCAATTTTGTGTTCTAAATTCTGAAATCGTCGTTGCTTATTGAAGACCAGAGTTTAGGGAAAGTGCTATTTATTTGTTTTGAGACCATACGATTTAACATTCATCATCAAGTCATCATCATCCAAACATTTATTTAACTCATACGTTTTTGTTTAATAATAATCAATTAATTTTTGCTTATGATTCTTCTAGTTATATTTATTAATACCCATAATTTTTTTGTTTATTTTTTATGGTGCTTAAGAGCCTTTTTATATCGTTCGACTCGGACCAAAAAAATCTTAGGATCAGCCCTGTGTACAACCGGCGGTATGGTATACGCTTCCACACAAAATGCAAGTATGGAGTAATAAAATGAAGGGAAAAGGTGCAAATAGGCCCATGTACTAACCAAAAAAGGTCAAATAAGCCCTTATTTAGGAAGTTCTGTTCGGCCGTCGTCATTTGGGGTGGTTCCCGGTGGAATATTTTGATGAAATTGTTTGAGCATCTTATTCATCAAGTCTAGTTTCCTCATACCAAATTTCAGCAAAAACTTCAATCGGGAAGGCATTCAAATGAATTCTTGAAAATAACTGCGCAGTTAGAAGCGCAGTTATCTTCAAGAATTCATTTGAATGCCTTCCCGAGTGAAGTTTTAGCTGAAATTTGGTATGAGCAAACTAGACTTGATGAATAAGACGCTAAAAAATTTTCATTAAAAAATTCCACCGGGAACCACCCCAAATGACGACGACCGGACAAACCTTCCTAAATAAGGTCTTATTTGACCTTTTTTTTTGTTAGTACATGGGCCTATTTGCACATTTTCCCTAAAATGAAATGTTTTCTAGCATCATCATATCATCATCATCACCCTATGCAAACGTGCCAACATACGACCGCACCTGACGAAACTCTGTTCATTTACGTTTCTTTCCTCTGCCACTTTGCGCTCCAACCCACAGCGGAAGGAAAAAACGACAGAAAGAAACTTTGTGTACAGAACTTTATGGCCGATCGTATATACTTTGCCTCCGGCTGGGCAAAAAGAAGATGACACATCGCCGAAGTAAGTACCGCCACATAAAGCCTTAAATCACGGCGCAATCTAGCATCAACCCGTCAAAAAGTCTCCGTTTTTTCGCGCCACTCCGCTTTCTTCCTTGAAGCCAAACAAACCATTTCGCCGCAGGCGCATTTTAGCTGCTTCGTTTTTCATTCTCGATTGTCTTCCGTTTAAGGATTAGTAACGACTCTCTACCAGGTAATCCGCCGTGCTTGCTCTGTTTTCCCCTTTCTCTCTCACAGTACATCTCCTTGCACCCCATACGTTAGGACAGTTCTAAAGGCTCAATGCTTCCATAAGACTGACGATTTAATGAATTCAGCAACGCGTATATAAATCTTCTTCGCTGATTGTGTGTGAGTGATCGTTGAATCTGGAGAGTCGTGGTTTACACTGTACCAATCATTTCGCAAATCTCTCTTCCTCTGTTTGGGATTCATTTCTTCAGTTATAACTTATAAGTGGAAGCATCAGATCTCGAATTAAATTTATATGACGTTTTCAACTGAGGAATTAGATCTGGAAGTAATATTAATTTAATCGTCCCTTTCTGGAGGATTTCAAGAAGATAGTCTGCTTCTGTTGCTTGCATGGATGAGGGGATATGACTAGTATCAATGTAGTAAAGTCACTGTGATCGATTTATCATCCACTAATTTCTGCTGCTGACTCATTTGAATCGAATTCTTAATCTGCAGTGGTTGGGATAGTGAAAGCATTCTGTTGCAATGAGAGGGCGTGAAGGAGATATATACTCCACTTACAAACGTGCATTGAACAAGGAAAATCTTCTTCCCCAAGGGAGAGAAGAACTAGGTTCGTTTAGATTGCTTATAGTTTTTTAAGATCTCCATACTGGTAAATATAGTTGCAGCTCCAAATGTCAAGTTGTCAACATAATATATAATGTGCATCATATTTTGTTCTTGCTGTGAATGCATAGACCACTCACAGAATGAGGGTTATGAAGTAGAGCTCGGGAATCCCTCCTGGAAGCGCCCGTTGCGACATATACTGGTCGCTACTCTTTCGTCATTCTTATTTGGCTACCACCTCGGGTATAGTTTCAATCCTAAAATCTATGTACTTTTTGTGGCTGGTTAAATAAATATCTGTCTATGATAGGTAATTTTGATTTTGGAATTTGGTTTTTAGGGTTGTTAATGAGACTCTAGAAAGCATTTCTTTGGATCTTGGCTTTGCTGGTAGTACCATGGCTGAAGGTATCTATTTTATGAGATCAATCTTCCGTTTACTTCTCTTCATGATCTGTTTGTTCCCCTTAATCTTTTTCTTTTTTATACTTCTGTTTAAGGAGTAAGCATTTTTTAAATGCAGGTCTGGTGGTCAGTACGTGTTTAGCTGGTGCATTCGTTGGCTCTATATTTAGTGGCTGGATAGCTGATGGGGTTGGTCGGCGTAGAGCATTTCAATTGTCTGCTTTGCCAATGATCATTGGTGCTTCTATCAGGTAAGATCCACCCCATATTGTATTCTTACATGGTCTTGAGACCGGTAAATAAATCTTTTAGACAATGATTCTATGATTAGTTGTTGGAGTTATGTGAGGAGGTTCCACTGATCAGATGAATGTAAATGCAAAATAAAAATAACTAATGGGTCATTGCTACTATGGGGTGAACCGGGTCTTGGCCAAGTTCACTAACAACCTATTTTCGTGTGTAGTTTTTTTGTGTGTAAAATGTATATGAATGACGGGTGCTTGTGCCCAAGTGCAGTGCCTCAACAAGTACTCTTGGAAGTATGCTTATTGGAAGGGTGCTTGTCGGTACAGGGATGGGTCTTGGTCCACCTGTTGCCGCTCTCTATGTGGCAGAGGTACCACATTTATCTTATTACATGCTCCAACCAAGAAGTACTCCTGTGTCTAGCTCGTTTTACTATTGCATTACCATGCATAATACAATAAGCTAAATGCTTATATGTTTGAGCAGGTTTCACCTGCCTTTGTACGAGGTACTTATGGGAGCTTCACTCAGATTGCAACATGCATTGGTCTCATGTGTTCTCTCTTCATCGGCATCCCATCCAAGGATGTTGTTGGCTGGTAAGACACAGTGGATTTTGATCATGACCTTAGTGTTTGCATAATCTTGTGTAGGACCTATTACTAAAGGGTACAAAGCCTGCTTTTGGAGAAATATCACTACATTTGTCCTTTCTTATATAGGTGGCGAGTTTGCTTTTGGGTGTCTTCTATACCGGCAGTTCTACTTGCCATATTGATGGAGTTCTCTGTAGAAAGCCCCCATTGGCTTGTTAAGGTTAGAACGTTTCTGCCAACTTTACATTTTCTTATTTTTGTGTCACTTTTCACTTGGATTTTTTCATCACCAGCATGGTCACCTTAATCGCAACAAGTTGTGGTTAGTGGTATGAAATTTAGTGTTAACTAAAAATCTGTTAACACTATAGATTCATGCAAAAAAAGTGGCAAGTTGGTAACTGGAATTTTTTTCCACTTTATGCCCTTGCTGTTGCAAACTTGTGGAGAAATTAAGAAGGAACAATGAGATGACATTCTAAAACCATCACCATCATTGCTATTTATTTCCACTTTTTGCATGGAAACTATCATGACTCATGAGACAGTGATGAATTGCGATATTTGCAATTGGCATGTTCATTTCATGATTGGTGTTATCATTTCGATCTGGAAATCATGAAACTTTTAAAATACGCCACCTGTTTATTCCTGTTATGTGGTTGGATGAGAAAGTAAATCCACTTTATATTCAATCAGAGCACCTATTAAGCATTTAAACCTAATAAGTTTCTTATGGGCATGCAGTTACACATATTAGCAATATTACTATGTGTATAAAGTTTCAAGCTCTAAACATTGCGCTCTCAAACTTTTCAAAATACAAATGTTCTATTTTTCGTGGACTTGGCACAGAGAGGAAGAATTGGAGCAGCTGAAGAAGAACTTGGGAGACTGATGGGAGGGTCACATGTTAGTTCCGCGATGGCAGAATTTTCCAAGTCAGACAAAGTAGATGAGGGTGATAACGTTAAGATGTCAGATTTATTTTATGGCCACTATTTTAGAGGTACAAATTCATGGCTGAAAGTGCAGTATAATGTCTCATTTTCTTCTTTCTCTTTGTAAAGATAATCACTCAATGATCCTTTATTTGCTATGGCAGTGGTTTTCATCGGGTCTTCCTTATTTGCTTTGCAACAACTGTCTGGTATAAACGCTGTCTTCTATTTCTCTTCAACCGTATTTAAAAGTGCTGGAGTACCTTCAGATATCGCAAACATCTGTGTAGGGGTTGTAAATTTGACAGGTACGCTGGGTTGCATATCTCTTTCTTTTGAACACCAAGTTTTTGCTGACTGCTTTACTCTTTGAAGTGTGATGCTTGTGTGGACTGTAGATGTTATTACTTTGAAAAATGCTATATGAAAGCCATCATGGAATCATGGTTCACCCCATCATCTGCATGGCCGTAGTGTCCACTGTCCATGCAGCAATGCTCTATTAATTAATGTATTTGGTGCTAATGACTGCAGGGTCCATTATTGCCATGAGTTTAATGGATAAACTAGGAAGGAAGGTGCTTCTTCTGTGGAGTTTCTGGGGAATGGTAGCTTAAACATTCTTTTATGGAGTAATTTATATTGGCCAACCAATAAATATGCAGCACTGAGAGAGGTCAGTTGCCATTTTACATGCTTGTTGATTTTTTCTTTCACTTCTTTGTTCAGGCGGTTGCAATGTTTTCTCAAGTAATGGCAGCATTTTCATTCACACCGGACTCAGCAAAAGTATATATGTCTGTTGGTGGCATCCTAATGTGAGTAAAATCTGCTTGAAAGCAGATGAAATTGTAGTATTTGTTATTGTTTGATGTTGGCATGAATTCAATTACAAATTTTGAGTTGATTATGCAGGTTTGTTCTGGCATTCGCTTTTGGGGCTGGGCCGGTGCCTAGTCTGCTCCTATCAGAGATATTCCCAAGTCGAATTAGGGCGAAAGCAATGGCTATCTGCATGGCTGTACATTGGGTAATTCTTTCTCCACCTAGCCTCCCCCCATTGTAATGATCAATTGCTCTCCCTCGTTGACTGCAGCCCCGTTTGGGACAATTCTCTGTTTTCAGCTTTTGTTTTACGATTTAATAAGTAACATGATATAATAAGACGGAACTACTCATACTTATTAGTAACCATGTTTATTTTGAATACTGCCAACAGGACACTGAAGTTTCCTAGATTTGGCTTTTGTTTAAAAGAAGCTGAAATTTGAAACACACTAATAGCTGATTCGGTTTAATGACAGGTCATAAACTTTTTTGTGGGTCTTTTGTTCTTGCGTTTACTCGAACAACTCGGTCCACAAGTTCTGTATACAACGTTTGGCGCATTTTGCTTGATAGCAGTGGCCTTTGTGAGGAGAAATGTGGTTGAAACGAAGGGCAAAACACTTCAGGAAATTGAGTTTGCCTTCATTCTGCCTCATTAGCTGTTGTTAATTGATATGAAGCCGGAAGAGCATGTGGCGGGACCGGACTTGGGCCCACTTCCGTGGGCCGGTTACGGGCTGTTTAATTAATATTTATTATTCATTTTATTTTGTTTCCTAATTTAATTTGTTTCCTAGTAGGATTTATTTAGGACTTCTATTCTTACTAGAATTAGAGGTTTTCTATTTCTATTTAGTTTCCTAGAATGATTTAATTAGGAGTTCTATTAGAACTAGAGGTTTCCTATTCTATTTAGTTTCCTAGATTAATTTATTTAGGATTCCTATTCTTATTAGACCTAGAGGGTTATTTATACCCCTTGTATGCTTCATTCTTGATGATCTGGGAATAAAAGTTTGGTTTAGCCTTTTGGCTTTGGGCAACGATATTTATTTATCGTTGATTATCTGGGCAACGGTTCACCCCGTTGATTTTACTTTTCTGTTCTTATCAATTGGTCCGACCTGCCGGATCCCCGTCCCGCCAAGATGACAAGAACTCAGAACGAACGACTGACGGAATTGGAGGCTGAACAGGCCCTGGTAAATCAAAAGCTCGATTCACAAGGAGAGAAACTGGATGTACTGGCTCGGAAACAAGAGGAGCAGGCCGCCCGGCTTGCGGAAATCGCAGAATCCCTGGCAGCAATCGCAAAGGCCATGGTACCGCCAGCGAAGTCTCCAAGCACGACCATCAAGAGCGGCTCCTCCGCCCACATCGCGACTGCTTTCACCGACGAGGGCGGACCGCGCAGCGCATCCACGACACTGCTTCCCTCATTCGACGGTGAAGACCCAATTGGGTGGCTGGCAAGAGTGGAGCAGCAGTTCGAGCTCAACAGGACCCCACCGGATAGACAAATTGCAGCGGCTAGGGTTTCTATGGAAGGGGCAGCCCTCTATTGGGTGACATGGTTAAAGGCGCGCAAACCCGGCATATCCTGGGAGGAATTTAAGCAAGCCTTGGTGGCTAGATTTGATTCCCGATATCAAGGAAACAGATTTGAGCGGCTAGCTGGCGTTAAACAAACTGGGCAAGTGGAAGATTACAATACTTTGTTTGTAAAACTCGCCAGTCAAGTACCCGGATTAACTGACGATCATTACTTGGGCTATTACATGAGTGGGCTTAAGGAGATAATCCGAAGCTCGTTGCGATTACTTCGACCAAACAACCTGGAGATGGCTATGGAATTAGCTCGCGAAGTGGAGTATAATCTGTCCGTCCAAAGTGGAGAAAGTGGCAGCCTGAATTATCATTCTTCGGGGGTACGTTCCAGCAGTTTTGTAAGGGCAAACACGGGTCCCCCGTTGACTGCCACCGGTGGCAGCTTACAGGGCTCAGGGGGCAGCTTTGCGAAGGATAGTGGACAGCCTCCGGGGACAAAGTCAGGGCTGTCTGGGCAGCCTACGACACGATCCCAGTTCACCCGTCTTGCGCCAAAAGAGTTAGCAGATTTGAGGGCAAAAGGATTATGCTTTAGATGCAAGAAACCATTCACGCCAGGGCATGATTGTCCCTTTAAGCAGCTGCGGGTAATGATAGCCGAGGAGGATGAAGAGTTGGACCTCAAGCAGCATGAATTCTGCGAAATAACCGGCCAGGAAAGGGTTCATGAAGGAGAAGAAGGATATTTTCCAGTCTATACTATGTCTGGAAATTTCAGCTCCCAATCAGCGAGTTTTCAACCTTGAGGACAAGGTTATTTTAAGGGGGGTGGATTGATATGAAGCCGGAAGAGCATGTGGCGGGACCGGACTTGGGCCCACTTCCGTGGGCCGGTTACGGGCTGTTTAATTAATATTTATTATTCATTTTATTTTGTTTCCTAATTTAATTTGTTTCCTAGTAGGATTTATTTAGGACTTCTATTCTTACTAGAATTAGAGGTTTTCTATTTCTATTTAGTTTCCTAGAATGATTTAATTAGGAGTTCTATTAGAACTAGAGGTTTCCTATTCTATTTAGTTTCCTAGATTAATTTATTTAGGATTCCTATTCTTATTAGACCTAGAGGGTTATTTATACCCCTTGTATGCTTCATTCTTGATGATCTGGGAATAAAAGTTTGGTTTAGCCTTTTGGCTTTGGGCAACGATATTTATTTATCGTTGATTATCTGGGCAACGGTTCACCCCGTTGATTTTACTTTTCTGTTCTTATCATTAATTGATCCTACCAGTCTACCACTCGTTTTTGCTGCAGCTTTTCAGGTAGTTTCATTCTAGTCTACATTTCCTTCACTAAAAACTGACTGCAATATGAAGGTTGTGTATTTATAGAGTTAGTCGGATCTGCCTAATATTTAAGGTTTTGTACAAGTACGCAAATAGCATAGAGAGCCACACACAGTATTTTAGTCCCCATAAATAATATAGTTTGGCTTGGATGCCTTTGGCTTCATCATATTTTGCACAAATCTTTCATTTTAGGAGAGGTATTGTTACTCTATTTCGTCTGAACATTTTTGCATCGTCATTTTTTAAGAGTAAAAATTCTACCCCCTTTTGTCTTTTATGATAACTTGGTCTTTTCAGTGAAAAGAACTGTACTGTTATCAGAGTGACCAACATCTCAACTGCAACTCAAACCCCCATACCCTGTTACACTTGCCCCAGTATCCCTGACAGACTGACTTCTCACAGTACTATCTTATGTAGCAGACACAAGACAATATTGGCCATGAAGGTTGTAGTACAACTCGCCAAACGTTATTGTTGCTTTTTGTAGAGGGGAGCATATATGCTATGATTATAATGGGCTGAAGTGCAGTGCAACATAATTTTTCTTGATTTTTTTAGCGTAAACATTTATGTTTTCCTATTTAGCTCACTCCATTATTGCTGAAAGTATCCAGCAAAGTGCAATCACTCTTCAGCCCACCTTAACTAATAATTTTGGATCCTTCCCTGTTTTTGTTAGTATTATCATGAGGTTAATGAAATTAAACAGACGAACCAACGGTAGAAATAATAAAAACAAATATAGATGCTATACACACATATATACATCTAAAAACATTATATTTCTAAAAGAGCGTTAGTACCCTCTGATTGTGCCAATATAGTCTAACAAGAAATTGTACATTCTTCTTAAAAATTAGGACTTCACTTTTCATCTGACTTTTATACTTTTAAATACCGTCAAAACTTTTATACCCTTCTGTTAAGTAGATTAATTTACTAAACGAAGCTAGCACTTCAAGGGATTGAAGGCCAGTCGGAAATGACTCTCCTACTGTAGACTCTAGAAGACCGCAGTATCCTGTACAGTAACCCTTTGAATAGCCACCCTACTTTGAAACATATCTATGGAAACTTTATGAAGAATAAGTGTGTTGATTCTTATTACCTCAACTTTTCTGCTCAGTTGTGCAGTTGTGCTCATCCAAAATGCTAAGCATCTTTCTCGATTCTTTTTTAGTTTCCCTTACCGCGAATAGGGATTACAGCTAGGTATTACTCTCATTCTATTTGTTTTTTCATGTAATTCACACCTTTAACAAGAGTAGGATTGTATTAGCAGGAAGCGAGTGTATTTTGGACTTAATCTTTTTATTCTTATGGGATGTTATGGACTAAAATGTTTATGGAAAACTTGACAAGCAGATGTATTTGTAATTCTTTTCAATCGAATCGGAGGCCACACTATTGACCGCTTTCTTCTTCTTTAGACGATACCTGTAGTTCTCCATGAGATATTGCTTTACCTCTTTAACAGTTTTCTTTGTTAATGCAGCTTGATAGAAAAATATATTTCTGGCTGATTAGAAGTTATCTTTGTTCACTTTTAAAGAAAAATATATTATGAGAACAATGTTGCTTTAACTCTGGAATTAAGTCATTAACCATGAGGATGCTTTGCTTAAGATTTGAGTTGTGTTTCTAGCTAAGTTCGCATCTCGGAATGATGATGCTGTTTAACTTCCACCATTTCATATTGTCGCTCTAACTTCTTTCAATCGCCAGTTGAATTCTAAGCATGTAAAAACACAAGCCCTAATAAAATAGATCATGTTTATGGTCGCTCTGATGTGAATGATATCACCATACCTAAAAGGTGAATGCCAACTGACTCTTATTCTGGTCCTAATAATAAAAGAACCTTCACTCGAATCAATATTATCGGGACTACATCCACTTCAATTTCAGATCAGGTTGTGGATAGGTATGAGCCAGGTCCGACGGCTCAGCCCGGTCTGGAATTGGGTCCGACACTGTTTGGGCCTGGACCGTGTCCATTTTTCTGGTTTCGGGAAGAGGACTGGCCTTGTCTGTCGAAGAGTACCCAATTCACAGATTTGGGACCAATATGGGGGAATATGGGCGGTTCAGGTCTTGATCGGCGATATTTTTTTGTTTCAGCCTTGGTACCGAACAAAATTTAAAAAAAATAAATTAAAATAAAACGGGACTGGACTCACTAGGTACTTGGAACTAGCTTATACTTGGGCTTCATTCAAAAAAGGCAAGGACTAGGCCGTCTCGGCCTAAAACCGGGACTGGATTGACCCGGGTCCATTCCTAGTTGTGGACGGGAAAATTAAGTTCAAAGAAGACAATCTAGACCCTCAGTCTAGATTATACAAGTGTGTTATAGTGCACTCAGTTTAAACTCATAATAAATTAATAAATATATTATGGATATATAGGTATTAGTGCAAGAAAAATTATATACACATTTAGTGAAAGTAGTATGCACTTGATATAAATAGATGTCCTAAACTAATAGTGTGCCATGGCCCATGGGTATACCGTATACATATTTAGTAGAAGAAAAGTTTGTATGTGCAACTAGTTAAAGTGATATGCACATACACATTTTCACACTTTTAAGGTGAAATGGTGAATACTATAAAAAATTACATGCTCATATTATAATCTGAATTAAGCGTAAGTGGACCTTTATACTTGATGCACTACAACCTAAACATTTGTGTTTTTATATAACATTCCAATATACTTCAAATCTCAATTTTAATTATGTACACTTCTAGATCTATCGTGCATCATCTACATATTCTACACAATTTTATTGACGATAAAAAAATATTCTTAATATCCAAATATCGCAAATTGAAGGAAAAACTTGACGCACTAGTTAAGGTATTGATGTGTGACGACCAAGAGGTCACAAGTTCAAGTCTTTAGAATAACCTCTTGTCAAATTTTGACATGTAAAAATTTTCTCCCTATACATACTTTAACTTGGACCCTTCCCCAGACCCTAGCCATGCAAGGATGCCTTCGTGTACCAGGTTGCGCTTTATCCAAAACTACACACTAGAATGCTAAAAGTGTGAAATTAGTTGCATGTACAAATTTAGATAAAAACACCTGCATAATTGTTGATGGATAATGTTGTGTAATGCCAACTATGCTTTTAGTATATGCAAATGTGCACTTTTGTGATTTGATTTTTCTTAGTAATATGAAGCACATATTTTTGCATTTTCAAGGTGCATAAATATGTGTCATTTTAATCATCTCTTTCATTTTGTGTTTTTACACTACTCACATATTCTATTTTGATAGTATTTTAAATGTTTATGTATAAAAAAGCTTTATTATACAAAACACTTTTAAATGTTTCTCAAGTAAAACTTCTAAATTGGATTTTTTAGAAGGTCAAATTCACTAACAGTTATTTAAATATATTAATGGTCAAATTCAAGTATCAAAATTGAATATAAACAAAGGTAATATAAAGTATACACCTACATCTTAAATGAAATATAATAAAATCAAAGTATGAATGTTAAATAAAAAAGTATCATATCCTTAAAAAAATATGGTTAACATTTAATGGCGCGTTGAAATCATGCACAAACTATTTCTTTTTGAATATGAAACACTTTCTTTCCGATTCATTTGTGGCATTATACCCAAATTTAACTTTTGCCAAAAAGTTACTAGCAATGAAAAGGTACCAAATAACTTAAAAAATTAGCACGGGTATGACACAGATCTTTGGCACGGATCTGACACGAATATGCCAAATTTGTGTCAAAGCCGTTATGTTACCAACTATTCGACACTGAGCCATAATAAAAATATGTTATGATCCGTGTCTAACTCGATCTTTTCGTGTTAATATCGTTTTTTATAGTGAGAAAAGAATATTAATAATGCAAATTGTGGCAAAACTTTAATTGATGACTTCATATAAAAACACATGGAATGGAAATCACAAATTAGCCCTCCACATCGGAGAAAGAAAATTGAAAAAATAGCTTAATCTAACAAATTAGCCCTCCACATCGGAGAAAGAAAATTGAAAAAAATAGCTCAATCTAACGGTGTAAGATCATTTTGATTTCTCTACTCATAGTATTTTCATTTGAACCAAAACACTCACACACTTTTTGTCATGCAAAGAAGTTTTCACTTTGATTTAGACACATATTGGTTTCACATACTAAATTGTCTAATATTTCAAAGAAGTAAAATTGAAGTTACTTGTCTCGCGAAATTAAATATATACCTGCTACTCATAGAACTTTCTCACATTGATTTTTCTTTGTTAACAATCATAATTAGGAAAATAATCTTAGTTATTATATTTATGTAAAATTTATAAATTTTATATAGCCCGTTTGGTGACCTGTTTTTCGGCTTATCGGGCTTATCAACCATTTTTTCACCAAAAACGTAACTTTTGATTTCGCGTTCTCAGGTTTGTAATAATAAGAAAAAGTAAGGTTGAAGTTACTTTTTTTGCTGTATTGGGTGAAATTACTTTAGAAGATCATTTTATCTATTTTTTCATATAGTTTTTTCTTTATTCTATTAATAAAAAATATTTTAAATATAATTTTTTTAATAAATCAACAGAATCAGTCAATCCAGTCACTTTAGCCAGAACTTCATAAGTTTCAGCATAATTAGCCGATTCAGCCAATTTCAGCGCTACCAAACGGGCTCTACTTTATGAAATTATTTTTATAAAGATAATTTCCATACGCTTTTCGCAATTCAAATAATTTTGTATTAAAATACTACGTATATGAGTACCACTGATCAAACTTGACCATCATCATTCATCAAGAAATGTTAATATGACAAAGTTTTGTGGGATGAGAGGTTATGATTTTTATAATTCAACAGATTTAACATATAAGATGTTTAGCCATAATTTCACCAATTTCTCATTCGGTGTCTGTTTGCAAAAGTTTAAAAAAGCGCTTCTCGGGTTTTGGCTTTAAAAAGTTACAATTAGTGTTTTCAAGTGACAACTTCTACTTAAAAAAGCGATTATCAAATTTTGGCTGAAAATTGCTTTTTATTTTTTCTATTACACAAAAACACATATTTTACCAAACACTACAAACTTTTACTTTTTAAAATCACTTTTTTCTCAAACACTATCAACTTTTACTATTCATCACTTTTTCCAAAATCAATTCAAAAACTGTTTTTAAAGCAAAAGCAATTGCAAACACTCCCTAAGAAGATTGAACCAATTAAGCACCTTCATCCAAAATTTTACTAATTTCAACGGTGATAGCTTCCTTGCACCGAGGTGCTTAGAGAGAAGGGAGAGCTAAAGATATATATATATATATATATATATATATATATATATATATATAGAGAGAGAGAGAGAGAGAGAGAGAGAGAGAGAACTTGCAATAAATGAGTCTAGCACCCCTACAGGCTACAACTACCTCCAAAGAGGGTTTTTATAGAGGAAAGGTGGGTTGGGCTCGCAGGTCTTGGGCCTGCGAGACCCGATTACATTAATGGGCCACTAACGAGCCTTTTACATATACAACGATCCACTATGAGAATTCCCTGAAGATGTTGGTCCCGAGGTATATCGACATCGGGTCTTGTACTCTTGTTGGACGTGCCGAGGCGCTCACCCTTCGAGGTGCGTTCCCTCGACTTGGGCCGTCCGAGTGGTCAAGAGTATATGGGCTATGGGCGAGGGGCCATATACTCTATCAAACGGATACACCCAATTTGAGTATTATCAAACTTTCTATAAATATGCACTTACTTTCATAGATTATACCGTGGGATCGGCATGCCGTGCGCACGGTATGCCTATCCCAATACGGTGCCGTTTTGCAATTAAAAATAGAGGAAAGAAGGTGTGCCCATCCAGTTTCCCATCGCAAGCTGCGTTGCACACCAAAGAGAGCAGAGAAGGTGAACATCTCCGACGAATTCCGATCAATCAATTGACGGCCAAATCTGCCATCTCCCATCTACCATAGGTGAACATCGTCGGTGAAGAAGTGACGGCAACGCAACTCCTCTTCCTTGAGGCGGCGACGCTCTGCCCTAATGTCGGATTTGAATATTTGCTGCTGCAGTGCTCACCACCGGAAGATGTGAGACATGCTAGTCAACATGTCGTTAACCTCTTCTCCCTTCATGTCCAGCACGGTGAAGCCAAGCTCTGCCATATTGGGATTGGGATTGGGTTTCTAGAGGGGTAGCCATCCATGTAAATTCTTTGTATTTACATCTTTTATATCCTAGAAAAGTTACATTTCTAAAAAAAATGATTTACATTTGTTAGCGTGAGTTACATGTCAACTTTCTTCAGCAAGTTACTTCCTGTTTACATGGATTTACATTTTTCATAATTCGAGTTACACCGCAATATAATGCGAGTTACACAAGTCAATAAGCCTCTGCAACTCAAAGAAAGATTAATTTTATAAAAAATCATTTTTATAGCCTTGATATATTAAAAACAAAACATATGCACTATTTTGTGAAATAATTGGGCAATTAGACTCCTTTTTTCATAATTTACATTGAAATCAATGTTTTATTTCTTATACTCTGCATTAGACAAGTTACATTTCGACTGAACTTGACTTACATTGATAAATAACGTGAGTTACATTTCTTTACACGTGAGTTACATCACTCTGCTACTGGGACAAAGAAAAACAAAACAAAAATTACTGTGCACGCGTGTACTGATCGTGCGCGAAAATCTTTATTAAAAATTGCAAAATTGT